TGATCAATTGATCAAGGGCATTTGATTAACAGCACCTGGCTGCTACTTAGCCTCTTCATACCTATGGAAGCAGTAAGGGTTCATTTAGGTTTTCACACATGGCTTCTCCATTTTGGCTTTCTTTTTGTAAAATAAATGACGACATGGTGTAATATGTCGTATGTTGTTCATCGAGGCTGTATTTACCTACTTCTGAGAATTGCTAAGGACCAGATGATTTTTATTATGTCCTGATACGTAAAACCACAGAACTCAAACAGGGTGTACTTTCTTTTTCACACAACTGTAAGTGTTCTTTCTAATAGATCAGAAGGAAAGACCAACATTTAGATTAGTATTTTCTTTTCTTTTATAATGCATTCATTCTACACTGAGGATCTCCAAGTGGTTATACAAAGATAGGGATGATCTAAGTGCTGATCTAAGTGCAGCTAAGGGCTAATTATGCTTTGGTGGTAAGGTACCTGTAGGACCATCTGCTTCAGATAGAACCTACTTGTCCAGTTCACATGTTCTACATAGGAAAATTAAAGGTTCCCCCATGGGAAATTTGGGGAGCAGGAGTCAATGCTTCTCACCCTCTGTAGATTTCCCAAGATACTTTTTATCAGAAAATTAATCTATTGCAATTTCTATGAAAGTTGCCGAATCCTGGTCAAGTGTGATTTCTTTTAGAACACAATAGGCCTAAATTATACTGAAGCTGGTCTGAGAAAATTTATGCCTTGAATAGAAGATTGCCAGTTGCCACTAACATCTGTTCTAGTAATGTGTTAATTTGTCATGTTTTATTGGCTTATATAATACTATTGCTTTCCTTTTAGTCTTTGTTCATAATTTAAATTAAATCTAATAAATATATAAATAACTGTTAAGATCATTGTTGGAACAAGTTGCTTAGTAATTATAAGTAATGTTTGTAATAGATTGTTTTTATGTAATTGCTACATCAATTTTGTTTTATTTTAGATTATAAACTGCTAAGAGTCTTCAGGAAATATGGTGACAGGAAGTACAGAGAAAAGAAAAAAGAAGAGAACAGAAGGTCATTATTGGAATGGTACACTTAATAATTAATTTTTATGATGATGTACTGTTTTTATGTAAAAGTTACAACTCTGTTGTTTATTTTAAATTGTAAACCACTCTAAACTTTCAGGGAGGATATGTAATCAATCAAATTTCTATTTATTTTTTTCTACTGTAATAAAATATTTGTATATATCCCATAGCTTTCTTGAAAATAATGCCTTCAAATTATTTATATTTTTGACCCCCTATGTTTTAAAAGATTTTTCGGCTGCAGAAATCTCAGAGATATATATTAAAGAGTAAATGTAGAAAAGACAAGGCAATTTAGTGAAAATCTGTCTAAAGAGAGAGGAAGAAGGTTTATCTATGGATCTCATATGGATAATGTTTCCTAATAGCATTTTAAAATAGGGTTTAAAATATATTTTTTAAAATAGCATTTTAAACACTGAAATTTTCCTAAGAAAGTCTATCAGGACAGTTATTAGTTTCATGTCACACTGTGTTAGCTATATCATTCTAATAAAGAACCACACACTTTGGAAAGTGTAGGTTATTATTCAGAAGGAATTATCCAATGTTAGGAAGAATGCTTTTGTTTAGCACGAGGTAAGGACATCATTGTTACATGTTCCTGTGGTTATCAAATGTATTGTGGGAGAGCCATTTTTAATACCATTCTCTACACAAAGATAAAGTTGATACACATGTAGAATTTTCTGGAAATCTAGATTAGGGGGCTTGTACTGGATACCATACAAAATAAATAAATAAATAAATAAATAAGCATATGTCAATTTCACATACATTATCTGATGAGTGGAACTTCATGTTTGTGATCAAGCTAATTAAGTACTTAAGAGGTTTGTACAGGAGTATAACTTTCTAATCACCCTTATCTTTTTCTTACACTCAGTATCATAAACATATATTTGTTGCACTCAGCAGTACAGTATACACAGCATCTCATCCCTGTGTCCACATTGGCAGGACAGTTCATAGTACTTTAAATTATCGCATCAGATGAAAGCACATCCATATTTTTTTATAAGATCCAGAACGTATCTCTCAGAGATCACTTCAGGTGATAGAGCAGGTAGCCAGATTTGTATGGCTTCAATTATGTTCATTTTGAGCACAAAAAATCTGGTAATTGACTATGGTGAAAGTATGCATTTAAAAAAATGAACCAGTTTCACAATTACTTGAGGCCAAGTAGGAATAGCATACTGCTAACATTTCTCTTACCCCCACCCCAATACTCAGTCTACAGGAAGGCAGAGGACTATCATACTTGAAAATATGATCATAGCCACAATTCTAATCTTTCAGTTAGCAGGAAAGCAATATTAGTAGTATCATTTCTAAAGCAATAATACTAAAGAATATCTCACTTTGTACATCCTGCACATAGGATAATACTTTATTAAAGTATTATCCTACTTTACATCCCATTACAGTAGATATAGTACTTTGGTACTGTGTAGGCTTGTAAAAATAACCATGCATATGAAGTTCATGCGAGAAGCAAAAGTTTTATTAGTAAAATAGTGGATATCCCACTCCAAATTTTGATCCTCCTATCCAAATTACGTTTCCCTGTCTTTGAAAATTGTAGTCAGCCCTATGAATTTAAACAATCCACTGTCATATATGCATTGTTGCTTCTGTGCTGGCTGATGAAAGGAAAGTAAACACCACACAGCTGTAGGATTTGGAAACAAGGCTAAGAAAAAATATTTAAGTTTCTGGATTCTGTGCAGTACAAACAGCTTCTATTTCTTTCCACAGGAAGTACATACAATCCTGATAATATCAAATCTATGAACTGACTCCATGACAATCACATTACACTGTAGTAAAATAGTACTGGAGTCCTTTCCTCTACCCCAAACCTTATTCTTCTTAAGATAATATATATTTTTCTATTATTTTCTTCCATTAAAAATGGGAAACATTGTATGCAGTTCGACACTATGTTAGAATGTGAAGTAGACTTCAGTAAGGATATTTGTTTAATTGCCAGTATTTTTGAGCTACCAATGCTCAAAACAAACATGGTACTAAATACACTTCAGAACTTTAAACTTTAAAACAATAAATTGGAAAAATAGAAAGACCTTCTATTTTTTTCTTTTTTAAATTTTGTATTAGCTTTTATTGTTGTAAACTGTAATCTGTAATAAAATTACTATAAAAACAATAAATTAAATAACTTAAACAACTATACAGCAAAATTAAGAATAAGGAAAAATGCTTAAAAAAATAGTGTTCGTACATTTAACACCATTTAAAAGTGTTAAATGTACATTATAAAATAAAGTATGCAAGGGGAGTGAAACCACAAAAAAGAAACTTGTTTCATATTCCCATAAATTTAGCCTTCTTAATGGTAGGATAAATAGAAGAACGTCTAATACAGATCTTACATTAAGGCAGATTCATAAGGTTCTGTTTGTTTAGTTAATTCTGCTGACAAGAAGTCAGCTGTGAGCAATCAAGCAAGAACCATATTTGTTTATTTCAATTTTGTATTATCCATTAATACATTAAAACAAAATTTGAATTATAAATA